AGGACAAGTTTTAATAAAGAAATACAACTCTTGTTTAGCTGTGTACAGTAAAGTAACCTGTGTCTTTGTCAAACGTTCTAGCATTCTCAAACTCAGAGTGAAGAGCTAAATCTGTGTGCCTCAGGATGCTGATAAACACCCTTGAGCCTTGCAGCAGATGAACGAACCCAGGAGTCCCATGGGTGAATTGTTATTCCACTCAAAAGTTTGAATGTTTTGTTTGAAACTTTCTTATTAATGTTTCTTACCTTGATAACCTACGGCAAGGTGGTGATGTTTTCGGTTTGTTTGTCAACTATATTACGGAAAAACTACTAGCCTGATTTTCATAAAACTTGGTGGAAGGGCATAGAGTGGGCAGATTTGAAAATGGGCCTGATACACGCATTATATTTCACTGTACTGCACTTCTGGTTAGATGCTGTACAGTAAGACTGTATTTTGTTGTCTCAGCACTTGTACTATTACATTACATTGCATTTAGCTGACGCTTTTATCCAAAGCGACTTACAATAAGTGCGTTCGACCAACAAAATACAAACTTGAAGAAAACAGAATCATATAAGTACATCAGGTTTCATAGAGCCAAAACATTTCAAGTGCTACTCAACTGGCTTTAGATAAGCCAGTCCTTTATTAGTATATAAGTGCTTTGTTAGTTATTCTATCGCTCGAAGTGGAGTCGAAAGAGATGAGTTTTCAGTCTGCGCCGGAAGGTGTGTAAGCTATCTGCTGTCCTGATGTCAATGGGGAGCTCATTTCACCATTTTGGAGCCAGGATAGCAAACCCACGTGTTTTTGCTGATGGGAACTTGGGTCCCCTTCGCAGCAAGGGTGCAGCGAGTCGTTTGGCTGATGCAGAGCCGAGTGCACGTGCTGGGGTGTACAGTTTAACCATGTCCTGGATGTAGGAAGGGCCAGATCCATTCGGAGCATGGTAAGCAAGTACCAGTGTCTTGAAGTGGATTCTAGCAGTTACCGGAAGCCAGTGAAGGGAGCGGAGGAGCGGCGTGGTGTGGGAGAATTTAGGAAGGTTGAAGACCAGACGAGCCGCTGCATTCTGGATGAGCTGATGCAATGACAATAAAGTTTTGATCAAATTGAATCGGTTACAATCCAAGATATGGCACTGATTTTACGGCGGTCTAAACTCTTCTAGTGCCATTCTGGTTCTCGGTCCTTAAGTTTTCCAACCCTTACTTTTTCCACTCCGTTCCAAGTCTCTACATACATCTGCGTCTCTGTTTGTTGCAATGCCTTTGATGGCCTTTGATGAACTCACTGGTGTAGTCAGAAAAATCCCCTTTGTGCTCCTCTGAGGTCAACTCATTATAATCATGCCTACTCAAGCTGACGAAGGCAGGAGAGGGAAACCTTTGATATATCCTTTGTTCTCCACCGTCAGAGCAGCCGGAGAGCATCCAGTGGGCCTCGCTCCTCACAAGGAGAAGAAGCATCGCAGCCAATTTGAGGCCGAGTCAATCAGCACAGTAGCAGAGGGAGTGCTGGACTGTTGTTGATAATCTCCCCTGAGAACATGCATGTGTGTGTGTGTGTACTCTAGGGGCAATTTTAAAGACTACAATAAAAAAACGAATGTACATATGTTATTCAATTAATGGACACGTTCACAAATCAACTTGAAACGTTCAAAATGTTCTAAAACAAACCATATGAGTGAGGAAATGGAAAATACAATATAATACTTCTTGAAGATATGTGGTACTTGAGGCAGAGTATGCAACTTTTACTCCTTAAAATTGGCAAACAAGAACATATGGGGAGAATGGTTTTGTGCCTTAAAGCCAAATTCAAAGTTATTTTCTTTTAGTTAGCTTTCACAAAAATATTGTTAATTCGACATAAAAATCATGAATTGGTGGATTTATGAAAGTGAGTCTAATACCTTTTTTATATCCACATTGAGCTTCAGCCCCATAGAAACCAGGGTTATTCTTTATCAAAGCTAGCAGCATCTCTTGGGACCGCAATATCAGTCTGTCAGTCAGTCAGTCTGTCAGTCAGTCAGTCCAATACTCTTGGAAAAGGTCAGCAGTCATGTCCCCCAGTGGATGAACCCTAGTTGTAAACTCCCTGACTTTTCCTGCAGCATCACCAGCTGGTGAAACCTGTCAAAAATACTGCATCTATTTGATAGACTGGCAATATATTATATACAAATATTCAATATTCCCAGAGGATGAATCCGAATTACTTTAGTCATATCCTAGAATTCACCAACATGAAGTTGACATGTGTGTGTTTGAGTTAAACATGTATGTATTGGATGGATTACCATGTATTCTGGTACAGATATTCCTGTACGCCTCAGATTTAATTGTAATTATTTTGGTGAACCCTATGCGGGTCAACATTTGTAACTAATATTTTATGAACCGAAACTAATCATATTCCAATCTGCAAACACACTAAACTAACATGGCACCAATTGTCTGTAATGTATTCTCAAAGCTGTTTCATCTTGAAAGATCTGATTGTGTAGCACAAAGGTTGAGTCATGACCAGGGGCGGATCTAGACATATATTCATGGGGTGGCAAGAGGGTGGCAGGAGATTTTGAGGGGTGGCATCCCCTGACAGAAGTATATGCTGATTTAAATCGCAATCATATCAATCAATTAGGGGTGTAACGGTACACGTACCAGTACTGAAATTATTCGGTACGGGCCCTTCGGTTTGGTAGACGTGTGTACCGAACGAATATAGCGTTAAACGTAAAAAATTGAGAACATGAACAACTTTCTGGAAGTAATCTCAGGTATATATCATAGAGTGACCAAGTCATTTCATTGGACGAGAGGCATACTATGAGAGCTGGTCACAGGGATGCGTTCAAATGTAGTCAGTAATTTGAGGGACTGTCGAAATGGCGAACGCAGATAAAGTTGAGCTGAAAATCCTCCAGCATCATTGAAGTCTCCGGTTTGGGAACATTTTGGTTTCGCAGTTACGTACAAGGATGACGGACAAAGACAGGTGGAACGAACCAAAGCTGTTTGTCGGCATTGTTCAACTAACATTGGTTACGCGGCTGGCAATACATCACACTCATTTGAAAAGGCATCACCCGAATGTGAATATCACCGGTACCAAAAGAAAAAAGACTGAAGTGCAAACCCAACTCCCACTAGCATGTAAGCCTCCATCACTCGTTGAAAAGAAAGTGGGCGTCATGACTCATGATGCCCACTTTCTTTTCAACATCAACCTCTGTTGATGTCACTTCTGTCAATCTATCATTGACTTTATTGTCAAATACTTTCTTCTAACATCTCAGCGTGTGATTGAGTATGCAATCTGTGAAACTTAGATGCTTGACTAACAACTGACAGCTCTAATATTGCCCAAGGACAAAGATGAAGGCTGATTCTCAAAGGAAAGTCCTTGGTCACTTGTGTGCAGCTTGGAAATGCCAGCTGACAGTGTGACCTCCCCCCCCATCTGCCTCAGATGGCCCGCAGAGACTAAACCACTGCGTATGAATTACACATGGTAACATCATAGAAAGGTTGGGCATGAAGAACTTTCTTTATCCACAGACAAAAACAAAATGCATATTGATTCTCCACTCTGGAGACCATACATTCATGGAAAAAACAGCAATTGTACAGCCGTCTAAAATCTTCGGACAATAGGAAGCTAATTCAATGAACACTGCTCATGTCGGATACTCTATACCAGGTCCAGGGATATCAAACTCAAGGCCCTGGGGCCAAATCCGGCCCGCAACTTCATTTTATGTGGCCCGCAAGAGCTTGCAAAAAATAATGTGTTTATTATACGGTTACATGTTACTTTACAGAAGCACGTTGCCCATAAATGACATGTCCCACAATGCATCTCAAATTTTTTTAAATATGCTTTTTTTCTCAGAATTAGATTTCCTTTTCAAAATGTTACTTTTTATTTCAAAATGTCACTTCTTTTTTTTGTTTTTCCAGAATTTGTCTTTTCTTTTTAAATCATTTTGTGACATTCTCACTGAAGAGACTTGCAATTATTTCCCCAAGACTTCTGCTTTCAGACGTAGTTAATTATGAAGTTATTACCCTATCCGATAATCATCCAATGCAGAGGCAATAATGTAATATAATACATTATTTTATATATTAAATATTTATATATGTATTTTTATATAGTCTTAAAGTTACAACCGGCCCTTTGAGTGCAACCATAATGCTGATGTGGCCCGTGATGAAATTGAGTTTCCCCCTGCTCTATGTTCTTTGGGATTTCATGCGTTTATCTTTAGAAAGGGAGTGAAAGACGAAGAGTGTAAAACAAGGATTCAACCTTAAAGAAAATAAAGCTATGCCTTTTAAGAAGAACATTTCTGTTTAATGATTGTATATGCCATTATATGTTTTTTTATCTATTTCTCTTGATTGTACCTGCTCGCTATGCAGATATTCAGTTCTCAAGTAATACCAGTACTTTGCCTTATCCTGCCATCTGCAGGCCATATGACGTTACTGCAGTTGTCTGGATATTTCAATGTTTTACTCAATTGCCACAATACTTTTCCACACATTACATTACATTACATTGCATTTAGCTGACGCTTTTATCCAAAGCGACTTACAATAAGTACATTCGACCAGGAAGACACAACCTTGAAGAAAACAGAATCATATAAGTACATCAGGTTTAATAGAGCCAGACATTTCAAGTGCTACTCAACTGGCTTTAGGTAAGCCAGTCCTTTATTAGTATAAAAGTGCTTCGTTAATAGTTCTAACGCTCGATGAAACTGTCAATGTTAAGATTTGTTTGGCCATGTTTGCTTGTGTACTTCTAGTGGTAACAGCTACATACTATTAAAGATACAACCCAAACTCCAGTATTTGACAGCATATTTGATTTAACCTAGTCAAACCACGGTCTGTAATTACAGTAGTGTTGTAATACAAAAAGGCCACTAGATGGAGCTAGGCTGTCATCTAACTACCGGAAGTTACAGCTTTGAAATGTGAGTTTTTCTCCCGGCACATCATGGGTGTGGATCATGGTGTGGATGCATATCCCAGCTCATATGTTTCTGTTTGGTTTCATTCAACACTTCGAATATGAGTTCTGACAGCAGATTTGTGGATTTGAGCAACAGCCTTGAGAGTGTTCCTGTTTTCATCGAGCAGAGGTCCTCCGTACTGACATTTCCTCAATTTCAGGTAATGTAACTTAGTGTGTCTGTAGTTGAACACATTGGAGTCTAACAGAGTTTAGTTGCTCTCCACTTATTTAGATATTTGGAGTATTGTAAGAGTACTGACTCTGTCTACATGCAATGCAATTTATTTAAACTACATACAATCTATGGCTACATCTTGTTTTTATAGTGAAACTAATACCTCTATTAGATGCACTGCACAATAACCTGTGATCAAATGAAGTACATTATTTCACCAGCAGGTGTCAGCAAATCATTACCGGCTACAGAGAAGTCCTCTGACTACTGCACATACAATCTAAAATAACTGCCTCTGTAGAATCAGAGGAGCTGTCCTAGTTTACACTCCTCACTCAGGATGTTCTAAAAGACCATTATTGTTCATTATAAATATAATGCTATTGACATGAAAGTGATAATAATAACTAAATGTGATGAAGAGAAGCTAAAGCTGTATTTGATAATGATAACTGATTTTTATTGTATGTGTTAATCTTCACATTCATTGATGAAACATAAATCAAGATTTCATGATCCATGGTTGAATTCTCTAAATTGATATGATATATAAGTATGAACCGAGAAAATCTGATGTGATATGTCTCGAGGGAATATTATTCAAAGGTTGCATATTTGTTTTCACAGTAGACTAACTTGGGCTTTGCGTTCCCAGAGTGCAGTGTTGTTAGTGATTTATTAGAGTCTTCAAAAGTACATTGGGAGCCAGAGCCTTCAGTTTGCCATCTCAAATGACAAACAGCTAAACATCACAATTTATTTAGTGACGGGAACCTGTGAATTAATCATTCAATTGTTTAAGCTATATAAAGAATTTTGCAGGAATCATGGATATGTTTACCTACTGTAATATTGTTACAACTGGTTTTTTTCTTACCGTTTTTTAAACTTTACCTGACGTTTATTTGTGCAGGCAGTAGCTCAGTCTCTGAATTTCCCCTTGCGATAAATCAAGTATTTTCTTCTTGTCATATTTTCAGTATTCTCCAGATAATGTTCAGGGACCAGGATGCACTCTTGACCCCAGTGAGGTCACCCTCCCCGGATGTTCCTGCCTGTCCCACTCCTGCTCCTCTGAGAGCTGCTCCTGCCTGCAGACACACGGGCAGGCGTACGACAGCACACACACACTCCTGCACAGAACACACTCCGGTTTCTGCTCCCCTGTGTTCGAGTGTAACGCCCTCTGCTCCTGCGGCGATGCCTGCTCCAACCGGGTGGTGCAGAGAGGCCTCACACTCAAATTGGAGGTGTGCAGCACTGAAAAAAGGGGCTGGGGGGTGCGGACACTCAAATCAATCCCAAAGGGGACGTTTGTGTGCGAGTACGCAGGAGAGGTGATCAGTTTTGAGGAGGCCAGACGCAGACAACTGGCCCAAAGGGCGGAGGACAATAACTACATCATCGCAGTGAGGGAGCACGCAGGTGAAGGCTCTGTCACTGAGACGTTTGTGGACCCCGCCAGAGTGGGAAACGTGGGACGCTTTCTCAACCACTCCTGCCAGCCCAACCTGCTCATGCAGCCGGTCCGAGTTCACTCTGTGGTTCCCCGGCTGGCGCTGTTTGCCGGGCGGAGCATCGACGCACAGGAGGAGCTGACGTTTGATTACTCTGGAGGATACAGAAACAGAGCGCCTGCACAGAGGGATGCTGAGACACAGAGAGAGACACAGAGAGATGCTGGGACACAGAGTGAGACACAGAGAGATGCTGGGACACAGAGTGAGACACAGAGAGATGCTGGGACACAGAGTGAGACACAGAGAGATGCTGGGACACAGAGTGAGACACAGAGAGATGCTGGGACACAGAGTGAGACACAGAGAGATGCTGGGACACAGAGAGATGCTGGGACACAGAGTGAGACACGGAGAGATGCTGGGACACAGAGTGAGACACGGAGAGATGCTGGGACACAGAGTGAGACACGGAGAGATGCTGGGACACAGAGAGATGCTGGGACACAGAGTGAGACACAGAGAGATGCTGGGACACAGAGAGAGACACAGAGAGATGCTGGGTCACAGAGTGAGACACAGAAAGATGCTGGGTCACAGAGTGAGACACAAAGAGATGCTGGGACACAGAGTGAGACACAGAGAGATGCTGGGACACAGAGTGATAACCATGGGGTCCAGAGGAAGGAGTGCCACTGTGGGGCCAAGAGCTGTGTGCAATTCCTTCCATTGGACTTATCTATTATTAGTGGAAAACGCTGAAATTAAATGGCATATATATACAGTATATATATGTTTTTTTGTTAAGCCTTTATTTTAAGACTGATTTTCTTAATGTTGGAGAAAGTGTTCAAGACGAGCCTGGTGGTCTGTTTGTATTATCCCTTGGCAATATGGCCAAAATCTTCTATCCAATACATGTTATTTCATACAGTATCTTGATAGTAAATATATGAATCATGATAGTAACTGGTAATTCAATAAATGAAAAGTGTATATGAAATAATCATGTGGTAAAAGTAATTTATTGTTGTGTGAATTAAATGTTTTTTTCTCATTTAATTTAGTGCAAAATGAAATGAGAACAATGATATTTCCAGTTAAATGTCTGGACTATGTTAACAGTACATTCATTTAACCAATGATGGAACATCTGATTAAGGTGAATAGTTTAAATTCATTTAGTTTGGTCAGATTTTCTGAGAATGTTTTAGACGATGAAAGACTGTATATCTCAATACATGCTTTTTAAGGATGAATTATCGTATTGTTTTATTGTCCATCTGCCCACCACTCAAGTTTTTAGTCTATTAAGTTAGGTCTTGCTCTGTTTTCAGTTTCCCTAACATCCCTGTTCATTTAAGCACTCATTAGAGAAAGACAATGCAACTTGTTAATGCACCATAAACACAATGAGATGGGTGAGTCACGTCTGAGCCGCCATTGTTTCCTGTTCGTCCCTCCAGTGTCATGGTCTCCTACTCAATGTAAGATGCTGCAATGAAAATAAATCTCAAGGCAGGAAAACCAAGTTGTATTTGTCAGAGAGAGACACTTGTTGAAGTTACGTTCTGTTCTTTAACTTGTAAAATCCAGTCCCTCCATCAGGGGAGGCTTGTTCTGTGTATTTCCCACCAGATTCACAGCTGTCATCTTGTCCTGGAACATTAGAGTCACATTTCTCACTTGTCACATGAATCATGAAGGAGAAGAGGTTTCATTAGCACTGACAGACATGAGAGGAATGGTGCTCAACAAATATGTCATAATATGCTTTTTAAGTTTCTCCCTTTCCTGTAGTGAGGGAGTTTTCTCTCCCACACACTCCCCCCATAGTGACATCACTATGTAACACTAACAATTCTATTGGCTAGCGCTCCAACACATTGTACGTGATAGGCTAAGGGGCGGGACAACTCTAAGCGGTTGACCAATCACAACAGAGCAGACTGGGCTCTGGTTTCTATTGGAGCGTAAAAAGCAGCACAAGCAGTGAGAATGAGAAAAATAAAAACCTTTTTGAACATTTTAAGGATGTAAACATGTGACAGTAGAGGCAAAAAATGTTAATATCAACCTGAAAATGAGCAGAATAGGGCCCCTTTAAATAATTATTCGGGCAGATTACGTGCAGGACAGATCTATGAAATATAATTACCAGCACATTTAATAGCACAACTATAATAATACAATTAATTGCAACCCAAATTAGGTCAAGTTAATGTAGGCAAAAGTCAAAAAGAAAATACAAAAAAAGTGATAGCTGTCATATGTTTCCATCAGCTTGACATTTGTCTTCTTTCTTCATGCATGGATATTCTCAGCTTCTCATTGCTCTCAAACACCAAGGGAGGTGGGACCAATTACAAAAGGCCAGGGGGTATTTTAATATAGAAACAGACTCTATTCCCCTGTCAGAGGAGGGGCGTAGGTGTCCCACTTGAGTGTGACAGATCTTTCTGAAATCAGGACCTTCTCTGTTCAATCCACCCCGTTTCCAGTCTAGACCTGCTTTCATTTTATTAATATCCACATCTGGGTTAATTAGGATGGAGACCGTGATAACCCAGTAATGGGACCAGTGCTGCAGCCTCAATGGGCCTGAGAGAGAATACATGGAGGGGGAGAGTGCACTCCGATCGGAGACTGCTGTCACGTGGGTTGTGGAAGTGGAGTGGTGTTGTTTTGACCCATATTATCTCCTTTGTGAGGGCAACCTGAGATTATTTGTTTTCAAAATGGGCTTTACATTTATCCTGATCTGGTCACCACTAAGTGCATTAAAACACAACTTTAATAATTGGACCATAACTTACGGCAACTTGCTATCTTGTTGTCAATGTGACATTAACAAATATGTAAGAACATAACCCCTCCTAGAACCACAAGACATTTTGCTAGGCTAAGCTAATTAGCTGCTAGCAATAGCTTTACTGAACACAGTGTTCAAAGTGGATCTGTCTTCTAAATTAACTCAAAATGTCTTACTATGCGTTTGAGCTCGTCATATTGCAGTTGAATGTGGTATATGGATACACAGTAAGTATAATACAAAAACATGTTTTTATTGACATCTGCAAGGTGTGTGATACACCCAACCCAGTCTCATGGCATTTCGTGTTCACCAACACGATTTTCCCCTTTTTTTCGTGTTGCACAGCACGATTTTATTTCTACTGGTAATGTGTTTCGTGCCTGCAGCACGTCTTTTTCTCCGGTCGGGTCGTGGAAGACCGGAAGCTGTGTGGTTCATAAAAACATGTTCCTACCTGGTTCTTACTCAATATCAAGCCACAATTATTGCTTTTATTTTAAATCGTATAATTTCGGACTTTTGTTGCCGTCTGTGAGGAAAATAAATGGGGCTCAGAGCCTCAGAATACTGAAATCTGTATTTTTTAAATCTTTTTTTCCTTCTAATTTGTTATGCTTTTCAAAATAACACACTATTATTTACTCACCAATAACACACAATTATCCTTTTATTTATTGGTTTAATTCCATAATCTCGGGCTTTTTTGGCGTCCGTCAGGAACTGAATTTCAAAATAAAAATAACCGGAAACAGACGTAGGCATTTCGAGCGATTAGCCAAGATCCTCAGCTATGGTTTAAGCTCGCTGATTGGCTGTTTTAGCCGCAATGCATGCTGGGATTTGGTGTTTATATGATATGAAATTCGGGAAACATTTTAAAATAATAAAATAATACTTAATTCCGAGTGTTCTTGCTTTTCTCTTTGAAAGTCATCACATAACGGCATTGTAATACACAGTTCGGCTGCATTACATATTACAGATCTGCCGTAGTTCTTTATTTATAGAGCCCTGATGAGAAGACCTTTGGAAAAACTGGAAGAAATACCGCCGAAACTGAATACTTGACGTGGATCATAAATATATCAACAATTAAACAACATCTTCAATTTCTCTTCACACAATACGTCTCCTTGCAGTATCAACACTAATTCGGCTGACTTTTACACTTGATCTAATTCATAGATAGGTTATATTTACACAGGGTTGCCAACTTTGGGTACCTGGCTGGAGTGAGATTTTGATATCATGGGTTTAATTACATATGCGCACGAAATGACTGCTATCGTGTTAGCAGCGGGACCTTAGCATATATATATATAGGATATATATACAATATATACAAATACACAATATTGGACACAGACTATAAAAGGCACAAAGTTTCATTCACTATTGAAAGTCAAACACATGTTTGTTTCCACTATTTTATTGTGTAGGCCTACCTGTCGCGATAAGCAATTAATTGACGTATCGTACGATAAATAAAAATGAACTCGATAAATTGCCATTTACATGAGGATGTGACTAGCAGTTTGAAAGGATGTACTTGAATTATTATTATATATTATCATTATGTCAGTGGTCTAAAATGGTCATACAACGGTGCCAACAATATTATCGTTTATCGCAATAATTTCCGGGAAAATGTATCCAACAAAATTAATTATCGTGAGAGGCCTATACATGAAACACACACACACAAACAAATCTACAGACTTACTCCAAACTGCCAAATATATTAATTAACACACTCTCACTCTCATATACTCTTTGATTGTATTTTGGCCTAGTAGAACAATAAGCAGCAGACTTTTACTTTTTTATAATTTCTACTGGTTCTTAGATCTGAGCATGCGCAATACGGGTCGGCAGTTGCGAGAGAGTATTTTTGTTGGGTAATCTATGGTAGTAGGGCTAAGTGGTGGGGCTCATGTCAGTATTTGCAATGTAATTACATACATGCTCCCCTTGACAGTGAAACGCCACGCGTGAGGTTTAGATTATTTCCCTGTCTCAATCCAAATTGAACTGTATGAAATAAAAAGGCACATTTGTCTTGTAGTAAATAAAAAGGGCGACCTGGAGCCAATCCTGCAATTTCTCCACAGGTGAAAGAGTTGACATGCTGAAAACCCAACCCCTGCAGGGGGTCTGGGGGGATTCTCCCCCAGGAGATTTTTTTTGTTTTAGTTTTGAAATAGGCTACTAACATAAAATACACATTCTGGTACTCTCTTGAGAAGAAAAATAAATAAATCTATTACTACACGACATATTTAAAAAATGAATGCCATTTTACTTTGTTCTGAAAGCTGAACCTGCTGCTCCTCACAGAGAGAAGAGGGAAGAGGCTGTGTGAATTACTTTACATTGTGGATAAGGGTGGATAGCCCCCATTGTTCTGTGTGTCAAAATGAAAGACAGCCCACACACCTATCCAGGGACGTGCACAGACATTTGGAGGGGCTATTGCTCTAAACTGGAAAAAGGGCCTCCCCCCGAAAAAAAACACAAGACCTTTTTTTAATGTAAAAGAAACCAAATGATTATTACATCAACTAAATTGAACAGTAATTCACATCTCATAACAAAATAAGCTAAGGCGACTACTTGCATTCGGTGACTTAATTTCAAAAATGAAAATCAGGGAAATTTTTTGTTTTGCGGTCCATATCTCATTAAAATATCTAATGTTAGTAACTATTAAAGACAAAATGGGGACAATTCTGTTCTAATGTAGTTTGACCATTGTAACTGCTGTGCAGTCCAGACATACTGATAAAATAGGGCCTCTAACCAGGGGTTAAATTGGGCCGGGGCTGGCCGGGGCTCAGCCCCGGCACATAGGACGATGCTCTGACGTCATCGCCCTCGCTCATTTGTCATTTGTTTAAGCCATAATGTCAAAACATCTCTCGTTCTTAATATAGACTTTATTTAGGGTCGATATGTGTTGACTTTAAAATTTAAAATAGCAGATCTCTGTGACAGGATATCGTTTTTCTGCTTAGTGAACGTGTGTCTCTGCTCCGATCAGGAGCTGCAGCACCGTGGCTCCTTCGTGCAGAGAGTCTGCAGCGGTGTGTGTGTGTGTGCAGAGAGTCTGCAGTGGTACCGCCAAACCCCCCGACCCGTCTTGTAACACGGAGCCCGTTTCCTACACCATCAGGGCCGGTTCTAACCAATTTGCTGCCCTAGGCGAGATTTTAGCTGGCGCCCCCCCCCCTGCCAGAAAATTGTTCAGTAGAACAAATAAAAGTATCCAAGGAATACACAATAGAATATATAAAAAATAAATGAAAAATCTCTACAAAAGACCAATGCACTACAAAAAACAGAAACGTATTGACATAGGTCATATACATCAAAAAGGCTTCAAATGTATTCAGTATTATATGAACATGTTTTAATTGGGATGAGGACATCACATCCTCTAGGGGG